CCATCCATCCATCATCCATCCATCCATCCATCCATCCATCCATCCATCCATCCATCATCCATCCATCCATCCATCCATCATCCATCACCCATCCATCCATCCATCCATCCATCATCCATCCATCACCCATCCATCCATCCATCACCCATCCATCCATCCATCACCCATCCATCCATCCATCCATCCATCCATCCATCCATCCATCCATCCATCCATCCCACAAATCCTGCCTTCCATGTGTCCATCCATCCATCCATCCATCCATCATCCATCCATCCATCACCCATCCATCCATCCATCCATCCATCCATCATCCATCCATCCATCCATCCTTCCATCATCCATCCATCCATCCCTCCATCCATCCATCCATCCATCCATCATCCATCCATCATCCATCCATCCATCCATCCATCCATCCATCCATCCATCCATCCATCCATCCATCCCTCCATCCATCCATCCATCCATCCATCCATCCATCCATCATCCATCCATCATCCATCCATCCATCCATCATCCATCCATCCATCATCCATCCATCCATCATCCATCCATCCATCCATCCATCATCCATCCATCCATCATCCATCCATCCATCCATCCATCATCCATCCATCCATCCATCCATCCATCCATCCATCCATCCATCCCTCCATCCATCTGTCCATCCCTCCACTCACCAGTTCCCAAAAGCCCCTGACTGAAGGGCCCTCAGGAAGGTGACAGGAATGACCTGCTGGAAGCTGCAGCTTCAGGGACGATTTATTCCGATCCAGACTATTCCTGAACCAAAGAAAATTTAAAAAATAGAATGAAATGAAATCCAAGGAAGCAGGAAAAGGACCTCGTTAACCTCCCAGCCCTGAATTTCCCCCTGTGCCCCTCGGGGCTGCCCTGGATGGCCGCTGAGAAGGAACGGGGCCGGGCAGGAGCGGTGCCCGCGGGAGGAGCAGGTGTGAGAGCGGCGGAGGAAATGCTGCAGCCCTTTGAAATCTGGTCAACTTTTAACGTGGGGCCGAGCCGTGCCCGCTCCGGGCCCGGGGCCGCGTTCCCCGCGGTGCCCTTTGATGGCGGGGCCGCTGCGTTACCCATTAACAACGAGGGGACAGCGGCTGCGGGGACACGGCCCGGGGACACGGCCCGGCTCCGGGGACACGGCCCGGCTCTGGGGACACCGCCCGGCTCCGGGGACACGGCTCCGGGGACACCGCCCGGCTTCGGGGACACGGCTCCGGGGACACCGCCCGGCTCCGGGGACACGGCCCGGCTCTGGGGACACGGCCCGGCTTCGGGGACACGGCTCCGGGGACACCGCCCGGCTCTGGGGACACGGCTCCGGGGACACGGCCCGGCTCTGGGGACACGGCCCGGCTCTGGGGACACGGCTCCGGGGACACCGCTCCGGGGACACGGCTCCGGGGACACGGCCCGGCTCCGAGGACACCACTCTGCTCGGTGACACCGCTCCAGGGACACGGCCCGGCTCCGGGGACACGGCCCGGCTCTGGGGACACGGCCCGGCTCCGGGGACACCGCTCCGCTCGGTGACAGCACCTGCGGGCTCTGAGCCTGGGGTGCGGATGGACCCGGACACAGCGGTGGCCCCGCTGTCCCCCTGCCACCCCATAAATGAGCCTTTACCCCCAGCCCGCGGCCGGCATTCGGTGTCTGTCCTGTCCCTCTTTCCCTCTCCTCCCCTCCTCTCTCGCTTGCTCCTTGCAGGACGCCCCGGTTGGGTTTTCCAGACCCCCCATTCCCCCCGGCGCCCCCGATCGCGGCGCAGCCGCCCCTGCCCGGCCCCTGCGGGCCCTCGGCTGCGCTCGCACGGCCGGCGGCTCTTTCGTTAGAAAGGAAAATGGATTTTTCCCCTTCCCGGAGCCGCTCCCGGCCGGAATGCAGCGGGGAGGATCCATCCCCGTTCCCCTCTCCGGGCATTCCGCGGATAAAGTTTTCCTCGCCACAAACCAGGGGCATCTCCAGCCCGAGCAAGACCCTGGCTCGGCGACTCCGGGTTTATTCCCGAAGGGATAAAAATCCTGCTTGAGTTCTCTTGGAGCCGGGAGCAGGCCTGGGAGCAGAGGGGAAAAAGAAATTTAAAGATAAATTTGGGGTTCTCGGTCGGTTCCAGCGTAGCAGCCCCGCGGTTCCTTTCGGAGCATCCGAGCAGCCTCGCCTGGACACTGAGCCGGGACCGAAAACCACCGGGGCGAGATGGGGAAAACCCAAAATCAGGTGAAGGGTTTGTAAATTCCCGAGAGGGGGATTCACCCCAAACCGGAGCCGCTGCCTCCCGGACAATGCTCGGCTGCGGCCGGGGAGCCCGGGGGAGCTGCGGCCGCCGGGGATCCCGCGGGAAGCAGCCGCAGCCCGGCCGCCTTTCCCGCTCGTCTCCCTCGGAAGATGCTGAAATGAGGGAGATCCGCACGAAACGAAATCCCGGCCCCGCGCCGCGCTCCGGGGCCGCGCATCCCGCAGCGCCCGCTCCGCACCCGCGGCTGCCGCAGGGCACGGGCGGAGGGGCCGCGTCCCCCCCGCCGGCCCCCGGGGGCAGGGAAAAGGTCGAGGGGAAAAAAAAAAAAGAAAAAAAGGAGAGGAAAAAAAGAAATGAAATTGAATTCAATTGGATTAAATTGATTTAAATGAAATTCCACAAACGGTCCGGAGCCGGGCAGTTTCCGCGACTGAGCCGAGCTGTCCCCGTGCCCCCTTCTCCTTCCCCTTCCCGATCCCATCCCTTCCCCTTCCTCCCCATCTCCATCCCTTCCCCATCTCCCCATCCCTTCCCTTCCCATCCCCGTCCCTCCGCGGCTCCCGCTGCCCTCTCCGCCAGCTCTCTCACCCAACTCCTCTTCTTTATTTCCACTTTTCCTATTAAAAAAAAAAAAAGGAAATATATATTTTAAATCTATTTATAAAATATTTCGAATGACGATTATTTTTTTTTCTCTCTCTCTCTCTCTTGCGGAAATGAAATTAAAATTAAAAAAAAAAACGCTTTGCCGACGCTCTCGCTCCATTTTTAGGCTTTCACTTCTCTGGGATTTCGCGTAATTTTGCCTTTCCTCCCCCCATGCTTCTCCCCGCAGCCTCTTGCGGGAGCGAGTCCGCGCAGAGCCCGCGGGCGCGCAGCAGCGCTCTCCTCTCCGCGGGGGGAAGGATCCCGCGCGGAGTATTTCGATCCAGCCAAGTGGAAAATAGACTTTCAACCCCCTTTGTGCGGGAGGGGAGGGCTGGCCCCCGCCTCCGCGGGCCGACAAACTCCGAGCAGAGCCAAACTGCGGAGTGAACTCGGGACCGGCCCGCGCAGGGGCTGCGCGCCCGCGCATCCCCCGCGCGGGGCAAAACGGCCAAAATTGCCCCTTCTTGGGAGATTTGGCTGTTTTGGTTTTTATTTGCCCCCGTTCCCGGCGCAGGATCGGAGCGGTGCGAAGAGGTTTCGGCCGGGGGAAGGTCCTGCCTTTGGAAGGGGACACGCGGAGGGGAGCGGAGCTTGCGCGGGGACGGGAGAGGAGGGGGAGGCTTCACCTGCGCTGCCCCCGCCGGGGGGGCCGGGGTTCCGCTCCGCCGCTGCGGGCAGGGCTGGTTCATTCATCTGAATACGAAAAAAAAAAAAAAAAGAAAAAGAAAAAGAAAACCAAAAGAAGAAGAAAAAAATTGAGGAATTTTTAAAGATTTTTTAATTTTTTTTTTTTTTTTTAATACGGAGGGAACCTCCCCCGCCCCGCGCTGCCGGAGCCCTTTTTGCCACAAGTTCGCGGCGCGCCTGCGGGAGCGGCTCCAGTCCAGTTTTTCGGGCGCTCTCTGCGTCCTTTTGCCTCCTCTGCCTCCCCTTCCTGCCCCATCTCCCCGTGTCCTCCCCTGCCTCTCCTTGTCCTCCCCTGCCCGTCCGTACCTCCCGTGCCGCCCCCGGCCTCCTCGTGCCTGCCCTGACTCTTCCTGGCTGCCCCTGTGCTCCCCCGGCCTCCTCTGCTTCCTTTTGCCTCCCCTGCCTGTCCTTACCCCGCTCTGCCTCCTCTGCCTCCCACTGCCCGTCCTGCCCGTCCCTGCCTTCCCCATCCTCTCCGGACCCATCCCTACCTTGATCTGCTCTCCCATCCCATCCCATCCCATCCCATCCCATCCCATCCCATCCCATCCCATCCCATCCCTACTTTTCCCTGCTCTTCCATCCCGGCCCTGCCTCCGCTGGCTTCTCCATCCCGGCCCTTCTCTCCCATCCCATCCCATCCCGGCCCTGCTTTCCCGTCCTATTCCTACATTCCCTGCTCTCCCCATCCCATTCCTACAATTCGTGCTCTCCCTATCCCATCCCATCCCATCCCATCCCATCCCATCCCATCCCATCCCATCCCATCCCATCCCATCCCATCCCATCCCATCCCTGCAATCCCTGCACTCCGCATCCCGGCTCTGCTCTCCCATCCCATTCCTGCATTCCTCGCCCTCCTAATCCCAGTCCTCCCCTCCACATCCCGGCCCTGCACTCCGCATCCCGGCCCTGCTCTCCCATCCCATCCCATCCTTGCATTCCCTGCCCTCCCCATCCCAGCCCTGCTCTCCCATCCCATCCCTGCAATCCCTGCCCTCCCTATCCCAGCCCTGCTCTCCCATCCCATCCCATCCCCGCAATCCCTGCCCTCCCCATCCCGGCCCTGCTCTCCCATCCCATCCCTGCAATCCCTGCCCTCCCCATCCCGGCCCTGCCTCCGCGGGCCTCCCCTCTCGGCGGGGGCTCAGGTGCGGCCGCCCCCGCGGGCCCCGCAGGTACCGCCCGCCGCTGGAGCGGCCGCCCGGGGCTCGGGGCTGCGTGGGCGCCCGCGGGTGGGCGGCGGGGCGGGGGCGGAGGGAGGGAAGGAGGGGTGCGGGCCGCGGGTCCGCGTGTGTGTGCCGTGCCCAGGGGGAGGTTTCTTGCACACGCACACACACACACACCGCACACACGCGCGCACCCGCAGGACCGGCCCCGCTCCGGCCCCCCCCCGCTCCCGGCTCACACCATGTTCCAGCCGTCCGCGAAGCGCTGCTTCACCATCGAGTCCCTGGTGGGCAAGGACACCCCCCTGGGCCCCGAGGACCCCCCGCGCCCCGCCGCCCTCGCCTACCCCGGCCCCGCCGCCGCCGCCGACGCCGCCGCCGCCTTCGCCCCCGGCTTCCAGGGAGCCGCCGGCCGGGCCCTGTACGGCAGCGCCGAGCTCGTCTTCCCCGAGGCCGTGGGGCACCCGGCGCTGCCCGTCGGGCCCCCCCAGCTGGGGGGCTCGGCCCTGCCGCACCCGCACCCCTTCTTCGGGCCGCAGCACCGCGACCCGCTCAACTTTTACCCCTGGGTGCTGCGGAACCGCTTCTTCGGCCACCGCTTCCAAGGTGAGCGGGGCCCGCGGGGGGCGCGGGCCGAGCGCTGCCGGGGCCCCGGGGGCTGCGGGGCTCCGCACCGGGGCTCGGGGGGCTCTGCCTGCACCGCAGGACCTGTTGCTGCCGTGCTCCGTACCGGGGCCGGTGCCTCCGAGAGCCCGGTGCCTCCGAATGCCCGGTGCTTCCAAGAACCCGGCGCCTCCGAGCACCCGGCGCCTCCGAACCCCCGGTGTCTCCGCACCCCCGGTGTCTCCGCACCCCGGTGTCTCCACACCCCCGGTGCCGGTGCCCTTGCACAGCCGCGGCCGCAGCTCTGCCGCAGCCCCGCAGAGTCCCGGCCGAGCATCGCGGAGCTCCGGGGGACGGGACCGGCGCCGCCGCCTCCGTGCGCAGCCGAGCCGGGAATTTGGTTTTCTCCTTCCCGGGAACGAAGGGAAGGATTTCGGTGCGGTGGATCTCGGCTGCGCAGAGAGATGTTGTTTGGTTCTGTAGATTTTCTCTCGATCCCTTTTCTTCTCTTTATTTCTTTCTTCTCTTTCTTTCCTTCTCTTTCTTTTGCTCACTTTCTTGTTTTGCTTCTTTCGTTCTTTCTTCTTTTCGTTCATTCTTTCTTTCTCTTAATTTTCCGATTCTGTCTCTATTTCTTTTATCTTTATTTTCTTTCTCTCCGTTCCTTCCTATCCTCTTTCTTTTCCTTTTCCTTTCTGTAGCTGCGTCTTTTTCTTTCCTTTTTTCCCATGTTTTTTCTTTCTCTTTATTTTTTCCTTTTTTTTTTTTCTTCTCTTTTTTTTTTTTTTTTTTTTTTTTTTTTTTTTGCCTCTCCGTTTCCCCTCCACCGCCGTCTCCTCTGTCCCGCCGCGGTGCCGGGGGGTCCCGCAGCCCGGATTAGTTTTATCTGCTCGGCACCAACGCCTCGCTGGTCCCCGGGGCTCCGCCGGGGATCGCGGCCGCTGCCGGCGGCGCCCGGGGGCTCCGGCCCGGCCCCCTCGGCCCCGGGAGCGGCTCCGGTTCCCCCCGGCCCCGAGCCCGGCCCGCCGCTCTCCCGAGCCGTCCCTCTCTCCTCCCTTCTCTCTCCGCTTTTAATTTTCTGTTTCTTCCCTTGCTTTCGTTTCTTTCTACCTTGTTTCGCTCGCTCGCTTTACAGATTTTCTTCTCTCGTTCGTTGTTCTTTGCTTCTTTGCTTCTTTCTGTTTTTTATGCTTTCCCACTTATTTTCTCTTTCTTTCTCCTTTCACTTTCTTTTCCTTCTGTTTCCTTTTCTCTTTCTTTCCCTCTTTTAAAAATTGCTTTCCCACTTTGTCTCTTTCCGTGTCCGCTTCCCTCTTTCTTTCTTCCCTCCACTTTTTCTTTCTTTCTTAGTTTTTCTTCCCTATTTTTCCTGTCACTTTCTCAGTCTTCCTCCTATTTTATAATTTCTTTTTCTCTCTGTCTCAGTTCTTTCTCTGCCTCCACCTTCTCTTCCTCTTTTTCCTCTTCCTGCTCCTCTCCCCATCCATCCCTTCTCCCTCTCTTTCTTTATTTCTTTCTCTCTCTCTCCCTGCCCTCCCTTTTGCGCCGTGTCCAACCCCACCGCGGGCCTGAGAGGATCCAGAACGTGGCACAAAACCCTCAATTTCAGGGTGGGGAAATCTCCCAAACCCCCTCAATTCCCCTTTTTGTGCCCTTGCCGTGTCACAGGGCCGGGAAGTGACCCCGAGGGGGGCCGGGGCCGCGCTGAGCTCTGTGTGTGCCCGCAGGGAGCGAGGTGTCCCAGGAGAGCCTCCTGCTGCACGGCCCCTTCGCCCGCAAGCCCAAGCGCATCCGCACGGCCTTTTCCCCATCGCAGCTGCTGCGCCTGGAGAGAGCCTTCGAGAAGAACCACTACGTGGTGGGAGCCGAGCGCAAGCAGCTGGCCAGCAGCCTCAGCCTCTCCGAGACACAGGTACTGCCACCTGCCTGCCTGTCCCGCCGTGTCCCTCCGTGTCCCTCCTGCCTGTCCTGCCGTGTCCCTCCGTGTCCCTCCTGCCTGTCCCTCCGTGTCCCTCCCTGTCCCAGCAGCGGCCCCAGCCCCGCACGCCGCTCCCGTGTGAAACCCCAGAGGGACTCCCCAGGACCCCCAGAGCCTGCAGGAGTCCTGGGGCTCCTCGGGGTGGGTTTGGGGTTTTTGTCAGGCAGCTTTTGGTGTTCCAGGAGCTGTGGCAGGTTTGGGGTTGGGAATGCGGCTCTGGTGTTGTCCCGCTCTCCCGAGCGCTTTCCCAGTGTTGTTTCTCGCTGGTTTGGGGTGTTTGGCCTGGGAGAAATTCGTGGATTTAAAAATCCAGTTAGGAAAGGAGCAGCAGGCTGAAGGCTTCCCTGGAAAGCTGTGGCTGAGCCGAGCAGCTCTGGGTCTGTGCACCAGCACCCGGAATTCAGGATGGGTGTGAGACGGTGCTGCCGCAGGGCGCTGGTGTTGGGTGAGACTTTCTGGGATCAGAACAGACATTTCACAGGAATTTAGATGGAAGGAGACCCAGGAGAAGCACGAGGATGACAGGAAAAGTGTACAGAGCTGGGGGAAAATGTGGGAGCTGGGGCTGAGCATCTCTGTGCGTCCGAGCCCGGTGTCCCGGTGAGCGGCTGCTCCCAACCGCTCCAGGGAAAGGAGTTTTATTTCCCAGGAAGGGAGAAAGTTTTCCCCAAATCCTGGTGAGGTGGTTGGGCCTATGTGCTGAATTAATTGAAATTTTAAGCTTAAATTTAGTTGGGAAATAAAGCTGGAGCCGTGGGTGTTCCCAGTACCCGCCTGGCTCATCCTTGCCCAGGCTCTGCCAAACAAAACCTCCAGACGCGTCCCTGGGAGCAGGAACTTCCTGGGAGGAAAATGTCACCGGCACAGGGACGGAGGAAAGGAGCAGCTGCGGGTGTTGGGAAGCAGGGACTGAGCCCCCCGAATCCCCAGGGTGTTTGGATCCCGAGGGTGACGCTGTCCCAGCCCGCGGCTCGCGGGGCTCAGCGCCGACACCGGCTCAGGGCCCTTCCCGCTGCTGCCGTCACCTCTCCGGGCTGGAATGGGGGAAAAAAGGGGAAAAAAGGACAAAACCCAAAGGTCAAAGAACAGCCAGGAACTTGTCGGGGTGGAAAGGGCAGCTGTGGGATGCCCCAGGGGGAGCTTAGCCATTCCCTGGCCTTTCCCAGCGCTGCCTGGAGCCTGAATGCAATAATGCCATTTCCTGGGGAAGCGCAGCAACGGCATCCAGCCCAAATCCCAGGGAGGTTTCAGGGTGCAAAGAGGCCACGGAGATGTTTTAAATTTTCATTCTTCGGGTGCTGCAGGCTGTTTGGTGGTGTGGTGTTTCCGTGATTTTGGGAAGCGGCTGCTGCTGCTGGCAGGGAGCGAGCACGGGGACCACGGGAGGCAGCGGCGGGGCCGGGGAAGGCTCCGTCCTTCCCGCGGCCCCACGGATCCATCCGGGAACAGCACCCGGCCCTGGGGCTTCAGCCTGCAGGGAAACGTTTTTCCTTTCTGTTTTGTGGCTTTGGAAAAAAATATATATAAAAAAAAATCTGTTTTAATTACCTGGAGGGAAATAATTTCAGTGTGCCGAGGGATGGGAGACACCCGGGTATTGAGATTGGAGGAGTGGGATAGCCAGGGGCTGGTGGCTGTGCCAAACCCAGGATATTATTATGGTTATTATTACCATGATTATAATTATTACTAATTAAATATTCAGTGATAAATCCTGCATGGAATCAAATTCCCACGGAAAACCAGCCTGCTTTACCCATGACACCCATGCTGGTGTGACACAGGTGTATTTTCACCTGGGGCCCTACACCTGAATCCACATTTTGGGGGGTTTTACCATTTTTTCACGGATTTAGCAATTCCCAGGGGGTTGCAGCTCATGGCTGTGCCTGGCCCTATTTCCCAGCTGCTTTTCCCCCTGGAAAAGGGGCAAAAGGGAGCAGCACCTGGAGCAGCCCAGGGCAGGTGAGGAGGGTTCAGGTCCTGCCCAGCATCAGGAAATGCCTTGGGATATGGGCTGGGGATGGTGCAGGTGTTTAACCCCCTCCCAGCCGCTCTCCTGCCGAGGAGCTGCGTTAATTCGGGGTGAGATTGGAACAACAGGCCCAGAACAGCAAAATCAAAGGGGCTGGGGGAACAAAATGCAGCTCAGGGCCCTGAGGGAAATCCAAAAGTGGGATCGGGGTGGAGAAGGTGCAGGGAGGGCTCTGAAAGGATCTGGGATGGTCTGAGCAAGGGGGGTTTGGGTGTGATGGGGACACAGGGGTGGGACACAGGTGGCATCAAGCTGGGCACTGGGGGGGTCTGGGCAGGGTGAGGGCACCGGGATCAGCAGGGATCCTGGGCTCTGGGATCAGCAGGGATCCTGGACATTGGGATCAGCAGGGATCCTGGACATTGGGATCAGCAGGGATCATGGGCATTGGGATCAGCAGGGATCATGGACATTGGGGTCAGCAGGGATCCTGGGCATTGGGGTCAGCAGGGATCCTGGACATTGGGGTCAGCAGGGATCATGGACATTGGGATCAGCAGGGATCATGGGCTCTGGGATCAGCAGGGATCCTGGGCATTGGGGTCAGCAGGGATCCTGGACATTGGGATCAGCAGGGATCCTGGACATTGGGGTCAGCAGGGATCATGGACATTGGGATCAGCAGGGATCATGGGCTCTGGGATCAGCAGGGCCCCCATGCCCTGTGGTGCTCTGGGATCACCAGGGCCCCCATGCCCTGTGGTGCTCTGGGATCAGCAGGGCCCCCATGCCCTGTGGGTACTTTGGGATCAGCAGGGCCCCCATGCCCTGTGGGTACTTTGGGATCAGCAGGGCCCCCATGCCCTGTGGTGCCCAGGGCCGTGTGCCAGCTGGGATCTGGGATGTGTGCTGGCAATGGGACGAGCTGGGGGCACCGTGCTGTGTCCTGTTGGGTTGGGCATGGCCTCACTGGTGGCACCAGGTCACTTCCCCTGGCATGGCAGCAGTCTGGGCTGGGAAGGCGCTTCCCTGGGTTCCTCTGGCATGATGGAGCCCAGAATTCCCAGCAGAGCCGCTCCAACCTGGCACCTCATGGGGCAAACCCCACTCGGGGTCTCCAATCTGCACTCCCTGAGCAGAGGCCTCTCCCTGGCTGCTGCAGGGGGAGCTTGGGGTGGTTATGGAGCCCCTGTGTGTCCCAGTGCCCCCTCACAGCTTTGGGGTGGTTATGGAGCCCCTGTGTGTCCCAGTGTTCCCTCCTTGTTTTGGGGTGATTATGGAGTCCCTGGATATCCTGCTGTCCCCTCACAGCTTTGGGGTGGTTATGGAGTCCCTGGATATCCCATTCTGGTTTTGGGGTGATTATGGAATTTCTGGATATCCCCACCTGGTTTTGGGGTGATTATGGAGTCCCTGGATATCCCAGTGTCCCCTCACAGCTCTGGGGTGATTATGGGGTCCCTGGATATCCTGCTGTCCCCCCTGGTTTTGGGGTGATTATGGGGTCCCTGGATATCCTGCTGTCCCCTCCTGGAGCTGCTGTCCCTGCATGGACAGAGCAGCCCTGGCCGGGGGCTCGGTGCTGGCTGTAATTAATAATTAATAATTAACGGAGCGAATGCCTGGGAATCACAGGAGGAGAAAGATGCCCAGATAGAGCTGCAGAGGGGCCCCGTGTGAGGCCCAGGGCTGGCAGCTGTCCCCTGACTGAGAGCTGCCCCCAAAAACAAAGCAGGGAAGTTCTGGGGGTTTTTATGAGGAAAGTCCCCGCAGGAACAGGCAGAGGTGCAGTGCCAGTGGGGGTGGTGGCACTTGGGGTGACAACCTGGCACGGGCAGGGTCACCCTGTGACAGCGGGGCTGCTGCCTCCCTGTCCCCATCCAGGGCTACCCCAGTGCCCTCACCCTTTGTGTCACCGCCTGGGCAAGCTCCACAGTGATTTTAACTGTCCCCGAGTGGTGATGGCAATGTCACCTTGGATGTCATGATGGCCGTGGTGGCCCTCGGGATATGGCACAGCTGGGAATGTGCAGGGAAACAGGGATGGGAGCCGGGCTTAGGGACAGGACAGGGATGCGGGAGCCGCCTTGGGGACTGTCCCTGTCCCTGTCTCTGTCCCATCCCTGTCTCTGTCCCTGTCCCATCCCTGTCCCTGTCCCATCCCTGTCCCTGTCCTTGTCCCATCCCTGTCCCATCCCTGTCCCATCCCTGTCCCATCCCTGTCCCTGTCCTTGTCCCTGCCCATCCCTGTCCCTGTCCCTGCCCATCCCTGTCCCTGTCCCATCCCTGTCCCGTCCCTGTCCCTGTCCTGTCCCTGTCCCTGTCCTGTCCCTGTCCCTGTCCCTGTCCTGCAGCAGGAGCTCGGGCCGGGAGGTGACCCCGGGGGACAGAGCCAGCCCCGGGAGTGGCAGGGCCGGGACGTGGCATGCACAAACACCCGGCACGAGAAGGGTTCATTTGGGAAGGGATGGAGCCCCGGGCTCGGGGCTTTAGAGCGATTCCTCCCGGAGCTCGGGGCCAGCTCATCCCCGCTGCCATTGGGAGCTCCCCGCAATTCTCCCGCCGTGGCTGCGGCCTTTGGAGGGAGGGACGCGGCCCGGGAGCTCCTCCAGCCCGGGAACATCCCCGCTCCCAGCCGGGGGTCCCGAGGAGCCCGCAGGAACCGAGCCCGGCCGGGCCGGGCAGAGCCGCCGCTCCCCCGGCCCGCTCCGGCACAGATTGAACTGCTCGGGCAGGTTTAATCGCTTTGTGCCCTGGTTCCCCTTCCACAATTTAGGGATAAGGCAACTTCTCCTCTCCCGGAGGTTTAATTAAAGTTTGCAAAGTGCTCCGCGGCGCCTGGATGAAAGGCGCCAGCCCGGCACGGCTCCGGGAATGCCCCAGAGGCAGGAAAGGCAATGGATCGTGTCCCGGGAATGCCCCAGAGGCAGGAAAGGCAATGGATCGTGTCCCGGGAATGCCCCAGAGGTAGGAAAGGCAATGGATCGTGTCCCGGGATTGTGTCCCGCTGCCAGGAGGAGCCGTTCCGAGCCGGGACAGCCCAAAGTCAGCGGCTGCTGCTGGGCTGGTGTGGCTCCAGGGAATGCCGGCCCGGGGTGGGAATGATGGGCTGGGATGGGAATGATGGGCTGGGATAGAAATGCCTGGGATGGGATGGAAATGCTGACCAGGGATGGGAATGCCTGGGATGGGAATGCCAGGCTGGAATAGGAATGCTGGGCTAGGAATGAGAATGCTGGGATGAGAATGCTGACCCCGGATGGGAATGATGGGCTGGAATGGGAATGCTGACCTGGAATGGGAATGCTAGCCTGGGATGGAAATGCTTGGGATGGGAATGCCAGGCTGGAATAGGAATGCCTGGGATGAGAATGCTGACCCGGGATGGGAATGCTGGGCTGGGATGGGAATGCTGATCCAGGATGGGAATGCTGACCAGGGATGGGAATGCCTGGGATGGGAATGCCGGTCCCAGAACTGGGAACGCCGGCCCGAGCTGGGAATGCTGCTCTGGGATGGGAATGATGGTTCGAGATGGGAATGTCGGCCCAAGAACTGGGAATGCTGGCCCGAACTGGAAATGCCAGCCCCCAAACAGGGAATGCCAGGCTGGGATGAGAATGCTGGCCCGAACTGGGAGTCCTGGCCCCCGAACTGGGAATGCCAGGCTGGGATGGGAATGCTGACCCGAACTGGGAGCCCTGGCCCCCATACTGGGAATGCCGGGCTGGGATGGGAATGCTGACCCGAACTGGGAGCCCTGGCCCCCATACTGGGAATGCCGGGCTGTGCGGGCCCGGGGAGGCTCCGGAGCAGGGAGCGGCCATGCCGGGGCTCAGGGGAAAGGGCCGATGGTCCCGGGATCGGCTGAGCGGGGCCCGCGGCTGCAGGGCACGAACAGCTGCGGGAGAAAGCTCAGCCTGGGCCGGGCTGGGCTGGGCCGGGCTGGGCCGGGCTGGGCTGGGCCGGGCTGGGCTGGGCTGGGCTGGGCTGGGCTGGGCCGGGCTGGGCTGGGCTGGGCCGGGCCGGGCTGGGAGCCAGGCAGCGTCCGCAGCCCGCCAGGGGCATCCTCATCCAACCGAGGGCACATCCTCATCCCGCCGGGGGCATCCTCATCCTGCCTGGGGCATCCTCAGCCCACCGGGGGCATCGTGGTTTCCACCTGCGGCATCCACATCCTGCACCCTGCCCCACTGCCATCCCCATCCCACCCCACTGCCATCCCTCACCCCCCATCCCTGCCTGCAGCATCCTGCACCCCATCCTGCACCCCTGCCTGCAGCGTCCCACCTGCAACATCCCTCAGCACTGCCCGCAGCGCCCCTCATTCCCAGATGGAGCATCCCATAACTCTGCCTGCAGCATCCCATCCCATAACCCTGCCTGCAGCATCCCACATCCCATCCCATAACTCTGCCTGCAGCATCCCATCCCATAACCCTGCCTGCAGCATCCCATCCCATAACCCTGCCTGCAGCATCCCACATCCCTTACCCCATCCACTCTGCTTCCTGCAGCATCCTGCATCCCTCACCACTGCCATCCCCCATCCTGCATCCCATATCCTGCATCCCTGCATCCCTGCATCCCTGCCTCTGGCATCCCCCATCCTGCATCCCTGCCATCCCCATCCCCATCCCTGCCTGTGCCATCCCACCTGCCTTGGTGCCCCCTGTCCCTGTGGGTGCCCCCAGCATCCCGAAGTGCCCCAGGCCCTGCTGCCCTGAGCCCAGCCCAGCCCCTGCTGCCAGTGCTGGAGCCAGGACTGTGGGGTGGGTCAGGGCTCCTGGGTGGGATCCCAGGGATGGAGACTCTGCTCGACCTCCTGGGACAGAGTCTGGCACAAGCAGAGCAGGAAAGGTCTCCTGGAACCTTGGTGTGGTCAATTAATGATGGATAATTGGGATTCTGGTCCTGGCTGGAGGTGTGGGGATGGCTCTGAGTGTCATCCCAGTGTCCCTGGAGCTGCTGTGCCAGTGGCACCCTGGCACCAGTGGTCAATTAATGATGGATAATTGGGATTCTGGTCCTGGCTGGAGGAGTGGGGATGGCTCTGAGTGTCATCCCAGTGTCCCTGGAGCTGCTGTGCCAGTGGCACCCTGGCACCAGTGGTCAATTAATGATGGATAATTGGGATTCTGGTCCTGGCTGGAGGAGTGGGGATGGCTCTGAGTGTCATCCCAGTGTCACTGGAGCTGCTGTGCCAGTGGCACCTGGCAGCAGTGGCAGCTGGAACAGGGCTGGCTTTGGCTGCTCCCCCATTCTGTGCCAGTACAAGCCAAGCCCAGCTCGGGCTGACGGGCTCTGAGTGCTGTGAGCAGTGTCACCTGTGCTGTGAGCAGTGTCACCTGTGCTGTGTCTGTGTCAGGCTCTGGGTGCTGTGAGCAGTGTCACCTGTGCTGTGAGCAGTGTCACCTGTGCTGTGTCTGTCTGAGGTGTCAGGCTCTGGGTGCTCTGAGCAGTGTCACCTGTGCTCTGAGAAGTGTCACCTGTGCTGTGAGCAGTGTCACCTGTGCTGTGTCTATGTCAGGCTCTGGGTGCTGTGAGCAGTGTCACTTGTCCTGTGTCTCAGGTGTCAGGCTCTGGGTGCTGTAGGGAATGTCACCTGTGCTGTGAGCAGTGTCACCTGTGCTGTGTCTGTGTCAGGCTCTGGGTGCTGTGAGCAGTGTCACCTGTGCTGTGTCTGTCTGAGGTGCCAGGCTCTGGGTGCTGTAGGGAATGTCACCTGTGCTGTGAGCAGTGTCACCTGTGCTGTGTCTGTCTGAGGTGCCAGGCTCTGGGTGCTGTAGGGAATGTCACCTGTGCTGTGTCTGAGGTGCCACCAAGTGTCCTTCACCCCCCTGTGTTTCTGCAGGACTGTGAGGTGGCAGCAGCCACATTTGTGCCACATTTGTGCCACATTTGTGCCCCGTGTCCCACCTTGCTGTGGGAAACTGAGGCATGGTGGGGTGGCTGTGGGAGCGCTCCTGGAGGGACGGGGACAGGGATGGGCATAGGAATAGGAACAGGAATAAAGATAGGGATAAGGACAGGGATAGGGATAGGGATAGCGACAGGGATAGGGATAGGGATAGCGACAGGGATAGGGATGGGGATAGGGATGGGGATAGGGATGGGGATAGGGATAGGGACAGGGATGGGACAAGGACAGGGACAGGGATGGGGATAGGAATAGGAACAGGAATAAGGATAGGGATAAGGACGGGGATAGGAATAGGAACAGGGACAGGGACAGGGATGGGACAAGGACAGGGACAGGGATGGGGATAGGGACAGGGACAGGGATGGGGATGGGGACAGTGATGGGGATAGGGATAGGGACAGGGACAGGAATAGGGACAGGGACAGGGACAGGAACAGGGACGGGGATGGAGACAGGGACAGGGACAGGAACAGAGACAGGCCAGGCCCAGGGCCAGTCTGTCCCCTCTCCAGGGAATCCCGAGCCTCCCGCCCTGCAGGCCCAGCAGTGGAGCCCACAGGCGCTGTGTGTGTGCCCAGGTGAAGGTGTGGTGTCTGTGTGCTGCAGGTGAAGCTGTGGTTCCTGTTGCAGGTGAAGGTGTGGTTCCTGTGTGCCCAGGTGAAGGTTCCTGTGTGCCCAGGTGAAGGTGTGGTTCCTGCATGCCACAGGTGAAGGTGTGGTTCCTGTGTGCTGCAGGTGAAGGTGTGGTTCCTGTTGCAGGTGAAGGTGTGGTTCCTGTGTGCCCAGGTGAAGGTGTGGTTCCTGTTGCAGGTGAAGGTGTGGTTCCTGTGTGCCCAGGTGAAGGTTCCTGTGTGCCCAGGTGAAGGTGTGGTGTCTGTGTGCTGCAGGTGAAGCTGTGGTTCCTGTTGCAGGTGAAGGTGTGGTTCCTGTGTGCCCAGGTGAAGCTGTGGTTCCTGTTGCAGGTGAAGCTGTGGTTCCTGTGTGCTGCAGGTGAAGGTGTGGTTCCTGTGTGCCCAGGTGAAGGTGTGGTTCCTGTTGCAGGTGAAGCTGTGGTTCCTGCTGCAGGTGAAGGTGTGGTTCCTGTGTGCCCAGGTGAAGCTGTGGTTCCTGTTGCAGGTGAAGCTGTGGTTCCTGCTGCAGGTGAAGGTGTGGTTCCTGTGTGCTGCAGGTGAAGGTGTGGTTCCTGTTGCAGGTGAAGCTGTGGTTCCTGCTGCAGGTGAAGGTGTGGTTCCTGTGTGCCCAGGTGAAGCTGTGGTTCCTGTTGCAGGTGAAGCTGTGGTTCCTGCTGCAGGTGAAGGTGTGGTTCCTGTGTGCTGCAGGTGAAGGTGTGGTTCCTGTTGCAGGTGAAGGTGTGGTTCCTGTGTGCCCAGGTGAAGGTGTGGTTCCTGCTGCAGGTGAAGGTGTGGTTCCTGTGTGCTGCAGGTGAAGGTGTGGTTCCTGTGTGCCCAGATGAAGGTGTGGTTCCTGTTGCAGGTGAAGGTGTGGTTCCTGCTGCAGGTGAAGGTGTGGTTCCTGTTGCAGGTGAAGGTGTGGTTCCTGTGTGCTGCAGGTGAAGGTGTGGTTCCTGTTGCAGGTCAAGGTGTGGTTCCTGTGTGCCCAGGTGAAGCTGTGGTTCCTGTTGCAGGTGAAGGTGTGGTTCCAGAACAGGCGGACGAAATACAAACGGCAGAAGCTGGAGGAGGAGGGCCCCGACTCGGACCAGAAGAAGAAGGGCTCGCACCACATCAACCGATGGCGCCTGGCCACCAAGCAGTCGAGCGGGGAAGACATCGACGTCACCTCCAACGACTAAGGCAGGGCCGGGCTGCAGGTGCGGCCAGCATGGCGAGGAGCCCGCGGCACGCAGGGGGGACCCCGGCGGCGGCACCCACCGCACTCTAGGGACACTCTAGGGACACTCTGGGGACACTCTGGGGACACGGCCACGCCGCCGCCGCCGCCCGCGGCCTTTCCCGGGGCCGGGGCCCGTGCCCGTCCCCCCGCCGCCCGGGGCCACCCTCGGAGGGGCTTTCGGGGCGCCGCCGCCCCGCCGAGCAGGGAGAGGAGGCTGCCAGGGCGGCCCCCAGCGCATCCTCCCCGCGCTGCGGCCCGGGAGATGCACCCACCGCCTCCCACCCGAGGCTCCGTGTTCCAAGCCCTCCTCATTTGCTTTTTTATTCTCATTTCCCCTCCCTTATTTTCTCCGTTGTTCCCATCGTTTGGGGTTTTTTTATGACGATTTGTTTTAATTTATTCTCTCTCCCCGTGCCCGTGTGCGTGCGTTCCCTCCCGTAGGTAGCGGCTGTAGTGAGTGTTACTGCGTGGAAATAAAGGAAAATCCTGCTGGAAACTCACCTGGACACCCGCCAGGGGTGGGGACAGCGGGGTCCCTGCGGGACGGCCACTGGGGGGCACTGGGGGGCACTGGGGGGCACTGGGAGAGAGGGAACGGGGGGAGTTTGGTGGCTCCATGGCGCTGGGTGAGGACAGGGATGTCCCCTCGGGGGTGCCACAGATGTGACAGGTATGTGGGGTGTCCCCGAGGGTGTCTTTGGGTGTGTCCCCGGGGATGTCCCCGGGGGGGGGGGGTCCCACAGGTGTGACAGGTATGTGGGGTGTCCCTAGGTGTGTCCCCAGGGGTGTCCCTGGGGGTCCTACAGGTGTGACAGGCATGTGGGGTGTCCTCTTGGGGTCCCACAGGTGTGACAGGCATGTGGGGTGTCCCTGAGGGTGTCCCTGGGTGTGTCCCCAGGGTCCCACAGGAGTGACAGGCGTGTGGCAGCTCCAGGAATGGCAGCCCCACACCTGCACAGGGACTGGATGTCGGGAGAGCTCCTGAGCTGCTCCAGTTCCCTGCGGATCCCTCGGGAATGTCCCTGCAGGGATGGGACACCCAGGGCTGGCCCCAGCGGGACCCTCCAGTCGGGGCAGCTCAGGGGAGAGCGGTCAGGAGCCCCTCCCAGGTTTTCCTGGAATTTGGGGGAAAACACACATAAATATAAAAAAAAAAAAAAAAAAAAAAAAAAACCAAAAAAACCAAACCATATATATATAAATTATATATATATATATGTAAAAATATTAAATAATCATATATAAAATATAGCATATATACACATATATACACATTAATAAATCATATGCATACAGATGCATATATAATGTGTATATTGTGTTTTATAATTTATATTTTATATATATTTATTAGTATGCACACCATATATTTTGTATGCAATATGTATATATAAAATATAGATTGTGCTTTCTGAGGTGTATATTATATATAATAATATCTAATTACATATTTTAAAATATATCAATTGGCTTATATATTTTATTATATGTACTAGATGATAATTATATATATTATGCCTATAATTATACATATTTTTATACTCTAGCATTATACAGATTTTGCAATTATTTATGTATAATTATATACAAACACACAAAATTCATCATTCCTGCTCCCTCCCCATATCCAGGGAAAACCATTCCAAGGCAAATCCCCATCCCCAGCAGCTTCTTCCCTGGAGAGCCAGCCCATAATAACCCTGTCCTTAGATAGGACCTTTCAATCCCAACATTCCCACTGGAATCCCACACGGAGCTGGGAGCACAGCCAGTGTGTGTGACCTCGTTTATTGGGACAATCTGGGGGTGACACGGGGACTCGCAGCCGCTGGAGACGCAGGGGTTAAAAACAGAAAGAGCCGGGGGGGTCCCGAGGGTGTCCCAGAGGTGTCCCTGGGTGTCCCAAAGGTGTCCTGGGGGTGTCCCAGGGTGTTCTGAGGTGACTCAGGGTGTCCTCCAGGTGTCCCAGGGGTGTCTTGGGGTGTCCCAGGGCATCCCAGGGTATCCCAGGGGTGTCCTAGAGGTGCCCTGGGGGTGTCCCTGGGTGTCCCCGGGGTGTCTCAGGGTGTCTGGGATGCGTCCCAGGGTATCCCAGGGGTGTCCCTGGGAGTCCTGAGGTGTCCCAAGGTGTTCTGGGGTGTCCCAGGGTGTTCCAGAGTGTCCCCGGGGTGTCCCAAAGGTGTGCTGAGGGTGTCTCAGTGTCCCAGGATGTCCCAGAGGTGTCCCAGGGGTGTCTCAGGGTGTCCCTGGGGTGTCCCAAAGGTGTGCTGGGGGTGTCTTTGGGTGTCCTGGAGGTGTCCCAGGGTGTCCGAGGGTGTCCCAGGGCGTCCTGGGGTGTCCTGGGCATTTCCCAGGGGTGTTCCAGGGGTGTCCCAGGGTGTCCTGGGGTGTCTGAAGGTGTCCTGGGAGTGCCTCAGGGTGTCCCAGGGGTGTCCCTGGGTGTCCTGAGGTGTCCCGAGGTGTTCTGGGATGTCCCAGGGTGCCTGGGGGTGTCCCTGGGGTGTCCCCAGGGTGTCCCTGGGTGTCTGGGTGCCCACCCCGCTGGAAGACGTGGTGCTGGCAGCTGTCCCCTCACCATTCCCGGGGCATTTGCTGTCAGGGTGTGCTCAGATCCAAGGATGAGTGGATGCCATGTGTGGAATAAGCCATAAAAACCAGTAAAAAGCCCAAAGTGGTGTTTCCTAAAGGGATCTGGGGACACACCCAGAACTGGGGACAGCCACCAGCACCAGGACTCCAGATCCCAGCCTGGGATTGTCCTCAGAGCATCCCAGAGGAGCTGATCTGTACCCAGTGCTCTGCCCAGGGGGGTCTCACACCCTGGGACCCCCCACGCTCCTCCCAAGGCCATCCCAGACTCTGGATCTCCATCCCAGCCCTCCAAGAGGAGGGGACAGCGCATCCCTCGGGCAGGTGGCTTTGCCAGGGATGTCCCAGCATCTCCTGTCCCCAAGTGGCAGGGTCCAGCATTGGCCAGGTGACCCCACAGGGACCTCCTGCCATCCTGCCAGCACCTGGCACAGCCCAGGGAGGGGAGCAGGAAAAGGAGCAACAAGGAAAAACGCAAGGAGCTGAGCTGTGCCCAGGCTGGGAGGTTTGGGACATGGGTGACACCACCCTGGGCTTGTCCCAGGGAGCAGCCACCAGACCCATCCTCCAGGAGAGACACTCAGAACTTCTCGCTGGCACCTCGTGCTGCAACCTGGTCCTCATTATTCCTTAATTAACATAGCCAAGAAATCAATTAAGCGCGCCATTTCTAATTAAATGCTCCGGGAGCCGACGGTCTCGTCATTGTTCTGTGCCGAGGGGAAGGACTCGATGTGAGCGGCGCTCCCCGTTCCCTCCCTCGGTCCCAATTACAGCAAACCGGGAATGCAGCGCTTGGGCTCCTTCCCGCCAACCCAGGGCTCCGGTCTGTGCATGAGGAGATTAATTAGTGATTAAACGAGCGTGCAGAGCGGTGTCATTGGCTGGGCTCTGGAGCTGCCTGGCACCGCTCGCTGGCCTGACAACCAGAGCACACGTGGAGCCGTGGCCCAGCTCCGTGTCCCGGCCCCAGAGCCGCTGGAAGGGCTGAGGGGGACATTCCCATGTGGGACATTCCCATGTGGGACATTCCCATGTGGGACATTTCCATGTGGGACATTCCCATGTGGGGCACTTCCATGTGGCACTACCACGTAGGGTATTCCCATGTGGGGCATTCCCATGTGGCATTCCTGTGTGGGGCATTCCCATGTGGCATTCCCATGAGGGACATTCCCATGCAGGACGTTCCCATGTGGAACATTCTGATGTGGGGCATTCCCATGTGGCATTCCCATGAGGGACATTCCCATGCAGGACATTCCCATGTGGAACATTCTGATGTGGGACATTCCCATGTGACATTCTCATGGGGCATTCCCAAGTGGGACACTCCCAGGTGGGACATTCCCATATGGGGCATTCCCATGTGGGACATTCCCATGTGACATAGTGTCCTGATTCGATAAGGAAGTGAGTTTTTTGGGAAACTGAGGGGCATGAGGAGGAATGTTTTTGGATGCTCTATATGGGGCATTTCCATAAACATTTCCATGTTCCATAGGGGACATTCCTGTGTGGGGCATTCCCATGTGGGACATTCCCATGTTGGGCATTTCGATGTGGCATTCCCACGTGGGACATTCTCATATGGGGCATTCCCATGTGGGGTATTCCCATGTGGGACATTCCCATATGGGGCATTCCCATGTGGGGTATTCCCATGTGGGACATTCTCATCGTGACATTCCCATGTAGGACATTCCCATATGGCATTCCCACATGGGACATTCCCATGTGGGACATTCCCATATGACATTTCCACATGTGATGTTCCCACATGGGACATTCCCTTTGCTCCCACCACGAGGGCAGGGACCAGGAGCTCCCGGCTCTGGGGCTGCTCCAGGAGGGATCCCAGCCTGGAGCTGCCTGGCACTGGAAGTGCCTTTGGAGAGGTTCAGCTCTGGGGCTGCTGAGCTTTCCTGCTGCCTTGGATAAAATCCAACCCCAGCCCTCTTTGGGGTGCTGGACCCAGTAGGTTCGGCTGGGGACACTGTGATCTCGGTGTCCCCAGGCTGGGATGCCCAAGGACTCTGTGTTCCCAAGGGTTTGGGAGCACAGGGCCACCATAACGTGCTCCTCATGCAGAGCCCTCGTCCTGCTCGTCACCAGGCTGGGGACAGCGAGGGGAGGGCAGCACAGAGGGACCTGCAGTGTCCTGATTGTCCCAGGGGGATGCACTGGCTTTGGGAGGTGTGGGGACAATCCCAGGGTGTCCAGGGCCACCTCCCCACCCGAGACCTGCAAGGATTGTGGATAAGCCCTCCCTGGCAGGGGTTTGGAATGGGATGAGATTCCAGGGCCCTTCCAACCCAAACCATTCCTTGATTCCCTGCTGCCAGAGGAGGTGGAGAAGGGAACTGAGCCCAGGGCCTGGTGGCTCTCCCCAGCTTCCCCAGGAGCTTCTGCCCAGTGCTTTGGGCAGGGCCACGGCACTTGGAGTGACACTGGGACAAAATCTGGGAGGAGCCACTGCTGGCAGAGGCTGGCAGAGGCTGGCAGAGGCTGGCAGAGGTAGCCCTGCCTGGGAAGGGCTGACTCAGGCCCGGGGTGTTTCACTGCTCAGCACAAGCCCTGCCGAGCTGCCTGAGCCCCGTTCTGCTGCCACACAAAGCCAAACAAGTCTGACGGGGTTTGTGCGGGCAGACACCAACCCAGACTCATTTAGGGCCTGTCATTGTCACTTGTGTGACGGAGCAGCTGCCTTTGAGCCGAGGCACGCTCACAGCACAGCTCCTCTGACATCCCCAAGCTGGTGCCCAGCCCCTCCCCAGGATCAGGCCCCCTGCATTCCCCGGAGCTGCCTGGCTTTAATAAGCCCGGGGTCTGTGCTCTGAGGGGATCCAGCCCCTGCTAATGGTCACTGCATGGTCACTTCTCCAGCCTCCCCTGGCAGCAGGGAATGGTGGAATGGTTTGAGTTGGAAGGGCCCTGGAATCTCACCCCATTCCAAACCCCTGCCAGGGAGGGCTCATCCACAATCAGGACACGGGATGGGCAGCCCTGCTAATGATGTGTGATCCCTGCAGGTGATGTGTGTGCAGGGAAAGCACCTACAGCCTCTCCCACCATGGGGAAACCGGGATCTGGCTCTTTCCCCAGGCAGAACCTGATCAATCCCTGGCTTTCCTTGATGGCAGCAGAGCCCAGCCTGCTTTCATCCACTGGAAATCCCTTGCAGGTAACCCCAGCTCAGACACCACCCCTCTGCTCTGTGACCACCCACAAACCCAAATTCTGCTCCCTCCCTGGGCACTGCCCCATCCCTGCTCCATTCCCTGGGCACTGCCACATCCCTGTTCCATTCCCTGGGCACTGCCATGTTCCTTTTCCCCTTCCCTGGGCACTGCCCCATCCCTGCTCCATTCCCTGGGCACTGCCACATCCCTGCTGCCCTCCCTGGGCACTGCCATGTCCATTTTCCCCTTCCCTGGGCACTGCCCCATCCCTGCTCCATTCCCTGGGCACTGCCACATCCCTGCTCCATTCCCTGGGCCCTGCCATGTTCCTTTTCCCCTTCCCTGGGCCCTGCCATGTCCCTTTTCCTCTTCCCTGGGCTCCCCCCTCACTGCTGCAGGAGTTATCTGTCCCAGGGTGCTGCCAGTAGGACAGATGGCCATGGAAATGTCCCCAGGACAGCTGTCACCTCCTTGTGGCCTCCCCAGATCCCAGCTGGGGTGGGACCATCCTCTGGAAGGTACATTCATCTCATTTAGTGCATTAAGGGACTGCCCTGGGCCCAACCCAGCTGTGCTGGGCCTGGTGTGACCCAGAGCAGCCCCAGGGGTGAGCAGGGCCCGCTCTGGGTTCCCAGCACTGTTTGGCACCAGGAGCTGTCCCAGAACAGCAGCTCTGAGGGGCCTGGAGCTGCCCCTGCTGCCCTGCCTGCTGAAATCCACAGCATCCATCCCCTTTGTGCAATTCCTCCTGATTTACACCAGGGCAGGGCAGGAGCAGGGGCCCTGAGCTGCTCCCTGGTGTGGATCCTGTTGCAGGCATTGCAATAAATCCATCAAATACATTCTGTGTCAGTGGGGATTTGGTTTCCCCTTTCCCCCCACCCTCCCCAAGCCCACAGAAATTGGCATTTGAAGGGGAAGAGCTTGTGCCACCCCAACACCACCACGGTGCCCTCTCCATGGGATCCTACAGGGCCATGGACCCTGCAGGGAAATGGGTCCTGCAGGGAAATGGGTCCTGCAGGGACACCCTGCTTCTGGAATGTTCTGCTGGTGGCCACGCTCCAAATGAAGCTGAGGGACTCCCTCAGGCTTGGATTTTGGGGTGAATTCTTGTTGAATTTTGTGAGATACCAGGATTTTGTGAGGTACCAGAAAGCCAAACTGTGCCCCCAAGCCCAGGGAGGGCAGGACTGAGAGCAGTGTGGGGGTGACTCAGCTCTCCCCTTTAACCACTCCAAAGCTGGAAGGGACAGACAGACAGACAGACAGATGTCCCCAGAGGGCAGTGTCCCCTCTGAAGGTGCAGTGTCACTGCCACCAGCTCAGCACAGCTTCCAGGACCTGGCTTCGGGTCCCTGTCTGCACCAGCACAAGGACTTGGGCAGAGCTGGCTGTGCTGGTGGAGGGGTTGGCAAAAATGGGGGAGAGAAGAGGAAGAGGAAGAAGAGGAAAAGAAGAGAGAAGGAGAAAAAATAAAGGAGAAAGAGAAAGAGAAAAGAGAAAGAGAAAGAGAAAGAGAAAGAGAAAGAGAAAGAGAAAGAGAAAGAGAAAGAGAAAGAGAAGGAGAAAGAGAAAGAGGGATAATGGAGAGGAGAGGAGAGGAGAGGAGAGGAGAGGAGAGGAGAGGAGAGGAGAGGAGAGGAGAGGAGAGGAGAGGAGAGGAGAGGAGAGGAGAGGAGAGGAGAGGAGAGGAGAGGAGAGGAGAGGAGAGGAGGAATTCCACTTGGAAGGGGCTGCCATGATCCTTGTCCAACTGCCTGCCCAGCTGGGGATTGATCCAAACTTAAACCACATCCTGTCCTTAGACACCAGCTCAGCAAAGCGTGGCTTAGCCAACCACCTCAGATTAGCAGCACCCCTGTCAGAGGGTGCTGGGTGGGACAAAGCCCCCTCAGGGCTGTGCAGAGGGACAGAGCAGCTCCAGCACCATTTCTGCTCCAACACTCCACCCGTGGGCACCTTGGCTTTCCAGGATCTCGAAACCCAGGCCAAAGGCCCTGGGGAATTCCAGGGGTGGGATCCAGGGCCAGCCAGTCTCGCAGTGAAGGGCAGGATGCCACCAGCAGTGTCTGCAGGAGCAGGAGGAGGGATGGAGGGTTGGAGGGATGGAGGGATGGAGTGCCCCCTCGCTGGGCACACGGACACGGCAATTCCTCTTCAGTGCACAAGTGCTGGGGTGGGATGGGCAGGAAATCAGCACTGGGCATTCCCAATGCCCTGATCAATCACATCCACGCTCCCCTTGGTCTCTGCAGAGCTGGTGTTGTGCAGCAGCAGTGAGGACTGAGCTCCCATGGACACAGGATGTGCTGGGTGATGTCTGTGCTGTGCAGGCTGCTCTGAGCTCGCCCCTGATCTCCCTCCATGCAGTGCCAGCCATTCTGAGTTTTGTTAGCTAGTTCTAAAGTGGTTCAACGTGATTTTATTTGTTGTAGTTGCTGCTCCTGTTGCTAAGTTAAAACTTTTAATATGAATCTTTTTGAGTGGTGTGAGGTGTCAGTTCTGTGCAGGTGTTAATTCACTCCCGGGCTGCTGGGAGCAGCTCCTATCACTGAGCTCTATTATTTCATCTTCTTCTCGTTGTTGTTGTTTGCTTTCTCCCAGGGCTGGAGCTTCCCCTCTTCCCTCCCCAGACCTTCTGGGTTGGGATGCTCCTCTTCCACTCACAACCCTTTGTTGTAGACCACAGTTTTACTGGTGGTGGCCATGGCGATCTCTGGCTCCAGCTGGGACGTCTCGATCTGCGGAGGCAAAGAGGAGCAGGATCAGAGCCCAGGCATGGATCACTTGGAGAATTGATTCATGCAGAGGGAGGAGATGGGGATAATTCCATGCCAACCACGCTGCTGCTGGTGTTTGGTGTGTGCCCCCCCCTCGATGAGGATGGGTTTGCAGCACAGGGAACGCTGCACGTTCTGTGCCTGGCAGTGCTCAATGAATTATTGAGTGTCTGAGGCTCCAGCACATCCCACCCAGCCCAGCCTCCCTTCCCTTCCTTCCCTGCAGCTCCCGGGATCCAGAGCCCAGGGCTGGACCTGCCAAAGCCCAGGTGGTGCCCAAGGGAAGAGCCTGGCTGGGCTCCACCCTCATGGCCAAACCCTTCCTGCCCCTTTCTCCATCTCCATGAAATCTCCATCCCTTCCCTAATTTTTTTCCTTCCACCAGCTCCTCCTGAAGCTTTCCCTTGCTCTGAAATCACTTGGAATCTCTGCATCCCCGGGAGGGATCCGTGGCACTCCTGGGAAGCAAAGACCCCGCTCCCAGCCGGGCCAGGACACCTGGGAAAACCTGGAATTTTGGGAATCCTGTACACTGAACCCACGCTGGTGCTGACACAATGCGAGGAACCCACGTTAAAAATCGAAATGCTTTTGAAAATGTTTAACCTAGTTAGACAAATTAGCAAAAATTTGTGCAAAACAATTTAGGTATTTAAAATATTCAATGTTTTTAAAAACTGGAAAAACTGTTCTTAGCTTTCAGCTGCAAAAACCCAACAAAATATAACATCAAAGCAATCTTAACATGAGGTGCAACATAACCCTTCAGCAAAGCTGTTAAACAGCTACTGAAGCATCATGGGAAATAGCACTTCATTTATTCAAATGCACATATGTCAGGTTTTTGCACCATATGTCATTCCAAGCTATTTACAGTAATAATTAAATCTTAATCAACGTTTAACCTCTGTAAAATGTTTGAAGGGATCTAATCACCCTTCAGACTGCACTAATGAAGGAGAAATATATAAACATAAAAAGAAAATGATGCATAGATAGCACACCAGAAAGAACAGTAATTGCAAAATTGTATTTCTTTTAAATATAATCAGCAAATTATGTAAAGTAAAGCCAACGAGTATTTTAAGTGAAGACATCTTGGGTGTCAGAGGTGTGATCAGCTAATTTTGTACTGCTATCCATAACAGATGTAGCATATTTTCTTTTAGTGCCATTATTAGCAACTTCACCATTCCTTTCAGTGCTGCAGCACAAAGTGAAGCATTGTGCCGGGAGAGCACCGGGAAAGGTGCAGGAGATCCGGATCCCACGGATCCCTCCCGAGGGAGGATCAGCCCTGCTCTGCTCTGCCTGCCTCTGACGCAGCTTTTCTCCCATTGTCTGGGCAGTTTTCTGCCAGGGACACACGGAACAGCTCCCAGGTTTTGGGGCTGGGTGGGTTCAGGCACGGTGAGGAAAACATCCAGGGGGGAAGTGGAACTCCAGCCTGGGGGGCAAGGAATGGCTGCAGGGGGTGATGCCACACCGGTGCCAAGGTGGGGATGGGTCACAGGGTGGGTTCTGTCATCTCAGAGGGCTTTTCCAACCTCCGTGATCCTGGGATTTTGTGCTTTGAAACAAATTCCACCTGGAATCGGGAGGGTCAGCGCCGACCACCCACGGGAAATGGGGCAGCTCAAACCCAACCTGCTCCACAGAAACCAAACAGAGAGGCCCCCCCAGTCCCACACTCTCCAGTGGTTTGGAGAACTGGGAGCCCCAAGGAAGGCACAGCTGCCCTGGGGGAGCCCAGCTCAGTGCTGGGACAGCCCCGGGGTGCTGGGGATGGGGCTGTGCCCAGCTGGAAGCCGAGGCTGTGCAGGGAGAGGGAAGGAAGGAGGCAAGGAAGGAGCAGGGCTGTGCTCACGCTCTCGTGGGACACAATTCAAGAAGCAGCCAGCACAATCCAAGCTGAACAGCAGGAAGAGTATCCTGGTGGGAAGAGCAAAATATCGCAGCCGACTGCTGGGGGAAGGTGTGGGGCGTCTGTGGTGGGAAGTTTTCAGCACAAATTACAGGGAAGCCATCAGGAATAGTTTAGGCAGAGCTGAGCTTGTCTTGGTGGAAGGAAGAGATGAGATAATTGTGTGGAGATCCTTCCAGCTTCCATCTCCTGGGCCAGGGGGAAACAGCTCCTTTCCCTGCGTGGGGAATGGGCTCTTCATCCATGGCAAGGCTGGACAGAAGGGTCTGAGGTGGGTTCAGGGAGGTGGGATGGAGGTGGGATGGGTCTGGTGATGGAGCAGAAGGACGTGGGAAGTGCCTTAGGATTCATGCCCAAGGTGGAAGTGCTCAAAATCCACATGGATGTGGCACCTGAGGACATGGTCAGTGGTGGGGAATGGCTGGACTGGATGGACTCTGAGGGCTTTTCCATTCTAACCATTCCATGGTTCTCATGCAGGATGGGCACCAGTCAGGACCCCCTGTGACACCACCAGTCACAGACTCTGCTTTGGAGCTGTGACACCGAATTCAAGCACCTTCCTGAAGCCTGGGGAGATGTTGGACACACTGGGGGTGACTGGTTGGACTGGAGCCTCCTCTGCAGGTCTCCTCCTGGCTGACTTTAATCAGGAAGGGATTAAAATCTGCTCCAGAGCCTCAGGAGCTCCAAGGGGTGCATCTGCACCAAGGAAAAATGTACAGGAAATTGGGAAATTTCTGCTGCTCAGAAACCCATCAGGAGGAACCTACTCCTCCCACCTGGAAATCAGATGGAGAAGAACAGGGAGATGGTGGTGGGTTACAGGTACCAAGACAACATTAAATCCCAACCCTGCTGTGCACCAGCCTTTGACTCCCTTGCTGGTGTTTTTTGTTGGAAAGCATCATTTCACTCATTTTGGGGTTTTGCTGTTCCAGCTGTCCCAAATCCTGGACCTGCTCAGCCAGCTGGCCAGGGAATTGCGACAGATGTGGAGACCACAGCTCCTGCTCAAGATTTTGGTGTCTCAGCTGCCAACACGACCCCTGTCATGGTCATGGCCATGCTGGGAACCCTCCTGTGAAGGAGCAGCTGCCTTGGAGGGTGCTCTGAGGGGACCTGTCCCACACAGGGCACTTGGTCCCTTCAAACCAATGCCCACCATGGCACTGGGGTTGAATCGTGTCCATCCTCCTCTTCCCAGCGCTGTCTGTGCCAGGGCAAAGGAGGGATCCCCTTCCTGGCTTTGGGATGATGGCACTGGGGTGTTACCAGGGAAGGGCCTTCACCAATGAATCCAGCAGAATTCCAGGAGGGACAGAAGCTCCCAGCAGCACTGAGGGACCCAGGGTGGGAAGCGCCACTCCCAGAGAGTGCTACAGGGGGGTTGTTTGGGCAAACCCCAGGATCTGGGGCTGATGGTTGCACTGACAGCTTGGAACCCAACATGGGAGCTCTCCAATGAGGCTGTGGGAGAAGCAGGAATTCCTTCAGCACCCTGTGAGGCCACTGGAAGCTTTGCCATAGATCCAGGGAGATCCTCACCAGGGACACCACCAGGATGCACCTCCCAGCTCACCCAGAAACGTGGCTGGGATGAACCACAGCCCACCCCAGCCCCTGGGAGCAGGTGAAACCCAAGGATGCTCCTTTCCCTCTGGCAGACAGCCAAGAGCAGGAGAGGAAAACGGGGGAAAACCCCACAAAACTCAGTGCCCTGAGCCTCATTGAGCACCTGTTCATGGACCAGCAGTGCTCAGGTGTCTCAGGTATCTCGGGCAGGACAGCAGCAATGCCAGCAGCAGGGTGAAACCCATCCCTGCCTCCCTGGGAACAAAGCTGGGAATCGCCTCCCCGCGTACCCACAGCTCTCCAGCTCTCTTCCCCCCATCCCTTGCCGTGCAGTGGGAGCCTCTCTCCTCTCATCAGCTCAGACAAGGCTAATTGGGGTGATAAAGAACTGGCTGGGAGTGCTGGCGTGGGCTGGAGGAACAAATGGTGCGGTGGTCACAGCTGGTGCTGCGGAGCCGGCGCGGGAGCGGGCGCGGGGGGCTCGGGGCGCTGCACGGGGGGCTCCCGGGGGGCTCCGTGTGTTTTGCATGGCTGCTGACACGGGTGTAGCGTGCAGGCACGGCCGGTGCGGCAGCAGCAGGCAGGAAGCAGATGCTTTTTGTTTGGGGTTGATACTCATTTCTATCCCAGCTCGGGAAAAGGTGTAGAAAGGAATGTGCTCCGGAGAGTGCGGGGAGAGAGATAGGTCTAGGCTGGCTGCCAGGGATCCTGGAACGATATGGAAGGCAGCTAGGGGAGACAGGAGCAGATGGATTTGGCATACAGCTCATCACTCAGCCAAAAAAAAAAAAAAAAAAGAAAAAAAAAGAAAAGAAAAAAAAAAAAAAAAGATGGGGGGGAGAAAAGGGAGAAAGCAGCCAAATTTGGGAGGGGGAGGGTCAGGGGGACTGGCGGATGCTGCTCCGGGCTGGGGGAAGGGAGGGCCAGCATGGCCGCTGTGGCTGCTGCTGCCAGTGGGGACAGGTGCTGGAGGCTCCTTGGGAGCCTGGGAAGGGTCTCCAGGCCCTCCAGCAGCTCTGGGCCATCTCCTCCCAGGCCTTTGGTCACCAGGGCAGAGCCCAGGGCAGGGCCGGGCACTCTGAGCCTTCAGGAGGCTCAGCCAGGGGTAGGAAGGGCTGTGGCACTATGGAATCATGGAATGCCTGGGGTGGGAAAGGAGCCCAGGGATCACAAAGCCCAACCATGCCCAGCCCTGCCAGGGCCACCACTGACCGTGTCCCCAAGTGCCACAGCCACAGGGCTGTGAAACCCCCCAGGGATGGGGACTCCAAACCTCCCTGGGCACTTGCAAGGCCTGACCCCCCTTCCCATGGGGAAATTCCTGCTGGTGCCCACTCTGAGGTGGTTCCCCCTCTTCTTGTCCCTGTTCCCCTCCTGGCAGGAGCTGTGCAGAGCCACAAGGGCCCCCCTGAGCCTCCTTTGCTCCAGGCTGAGCCCCTGCCCAGCTCCCTCAGGGATTCTG